GATTTTTGCATCTGTATTCATGAGGGAGACTGGCCTGTAGTTCTCTTTTTCAGTTGTGTCTTTAATTGGTTTTGGTATTAATATAATACTTGCTTCCAGGAATGATTTTGGGAGGATTGCTTCCTTTTCAATTTCATTGAAGAGTTTGAGGAGTTTAGGAATTAAATCTTCTAGAAATTTCTTATAGAATTCAGGTGTGAATCCTTCAGGGACACGACTTTTCTTTTTCGGCAAGCTTTTTATTATACTTCATATTTCATTGGCTGTTATTGGGTTATTGAGAGTTGTTATATGTTTTTGATTCCGTTTTGGTAATTTGTACCTTTCCAGGAATCTGTCCATTTCATCTGTGTCTTTTATTCTGTGATCGTAAAGATTCTCAAAGTAGCTATTGATAACCTTGTGAATTTCCACTGGGTCTCTATTGATTACACCCTTTTCATTCCTTATTGCTTTATTTTGAACTTTTCTTTCTTCTTTTTGATGAGGTTAGCTAGGGGCTTATCAATTTAGTCTTTGAACGAACCAGCTTTTTGATTCGTTAATTCTTTGAATTGTTTTCTTCATCTCAATTGAATTAATTTCTGCTCTAATCTTTATGAGTTCTTCCCGTCTTTATGTTCTGGGTTTGGTTTGCTCTTCCTTTTCTAGATGTAAGAGGTGCAACATTGGGGTGTTTATTTCTTCCCTTTCTGTTTTCCTAATATGTGAGTTCACAGCTATGAATTTTCTTCTGAGAACTGCTTTCATCACGTCTCATAAATTCCAATACGTTGTGGTTGAAGTTTCATTGAATTGTAGATATTGTTGAATTTCTTATTTAATTTCATCTGTGACCCATTGATTGCTGAGTAGGTTGTTGTTTAATTTCCATGTATTTGGAGGGCGGTTTGTTTTCTTTTGTCCCTTATTTCTAGTTTCATTGTACTATGGTCAGATATAAGCATGGAATAATTTCTGTTTTCTTATATGTAGTTAAGCATGACTTATGGACTTATATGTGGTCTATTTTAATTTTTTTTTAATTTTTATTTATTTGAGAGAGAGAGAGAGAGAGGTGTGTGTGTGTGTGTGTGTGGCCAGCTCAGCCCACCAGGGGGCGGGGCTGGCTGGCATGTGGTGCTGGGGGATTGAACCGTGGTCCCTGATGCCTTGCCAAGCTTGTTCTAAGTAGGTGCTTTAGACCACTGAGCCATCTCTCCAGCCCCTATGTGGTCTATTTTAGAAAATGACTCATGTGCAGATGAAAAGAATGTGTATTCAGCTGTTTTTGGGTGGAACTTTATATGTCCACCAAATCCTTTTGTTCTAAGCTCTGGTTCAGTTCTGCCACTTCTTTGCTAATTTTTTGTCTGGTTGACCTATCTTTTGGATAAGGGGGTGTTAAGGTCTCCTGTTAAGATTGTGGTCTTGGATGTTAGATTTTTCATGTCCATTAAGGTTTGTCTTATGTAGTTAGGTGCTCCCATGTTTGGTGCATAGATATTTATGAGTATTACCTCTTCCTCTTGAATTTTTCCCATAACCAATAAATAATAGCCTTCTTTATTTCTTTTGATATTCTTGGTTTGAAGTTGAGACTGTCTAAGAACAAGATTGCTACCCCTGCTTTTTTCTGAGGTTCCGGGGCATGTAGTATTGTTTTCCATCCTTTGCCTTTAAGCCTATGAATGTCTTTATCAGTTAAGCGTGTGTTTTTTTTTTAAGTGTGTTTCTTGTATACAGCATATTGTTGAATTTTGTTTCCCAATCCCCTGTGCCAGTCTATTAATTGGTGAATTGAATCCATTTACATTGATGGTAAAATTGAGATGTGTTTACTTATGATTGACATGATATTTACCTGCTGTTGTTTACTCCTTTTTGTCCTGTGTTTGTTTGCCCTATTTAGTGGGTTCCTTCTGTTCTCATTCATGGAGTTCTGATTATTTTGGTCCCTCTCAAGAACATCTTTCAATAGTCTGTGTAGTGTTGGCTTTGTCATCATGAAAGTGTTTAGCTATTCTTTGTCTTGAAAGTATTTCACTTCTCCATCAAACTTGAAAGAGTTTTGCTGGGTATAGTAGTCTGGGTTGGAACTTGTTTCCATGGAAGACTTGAAGTACTGTGCTCCATGCTCTTCTTGCCTTCATGGTTTGTGAAGAGAAGTTGGCTGTAATTCTGATGGGTTTTCTCTTGAATGTGATCTGCTTCTTTTGTCTAGTGGCTTTCAGTATATTATTCTTGTGCTGGATTTCTGGGATCTTGACTGTTGTATGTCTTAGTGTGTTTTTAATTGGGTTGAGGTTACTTGGTGTTCTCTATGCTTCAGTTACCTGAATGTCAGTTTGTTTCCTCATATTTGGAAAGTTTTCTGCTATTACTTCTGCCCATGTTCTTTTTATATCATTTGTATTGACTCCATTTTTCTCATTGATGCCTATTATTTTCACATTGTTCATCTTTCCATCGTCTTACAGGTGATGGATTATTTTTTCCTGCATCCTAGTTGTTTTTAAGAGATCCTTTCTTACCTTTTCACTAGCTGCACCAGCATTTTTAAGATTTGAAACTCTGTCTTCACTTAAATGGTTTTGCAGGCTTGTTATTGAGATTTTAAGTTCCTCTATATCTCTTTGACTTTGCTTCATGTGATCTATTTCTTTCCTGTATTGCTCATTCAAGGAATCCATCATATTTCTAATCTCCTCTATTTTTTTTTTATCAATGTCTTCTTTAGGAGCAGTTATTAAATCTTTTACTGTAGAGTTTTTTTCAGATTGGGTATCCTCCATATGTTTCTGTATTTGATTCTTTACTTCAGATGGTATGAATTCAAAGATTTCTTTTTTTATTTCAGGAATTAATTCTGCTCTGAGTTCCTCTTTACCTTTCTGCTATTGTTTCTTTACTTGTGACACTATTAATTTATATATTTCAGCTAAGCTAGTGTCTTCTCCATTTGTTCTGGGCATTGGGTTTCCCCCTTATGTTTCTGTATTAGATTCTTTATTTTAGATTCTATGAATTCAGAGACTTCTTTTTTCTTTTCAGGAATTAATTCTGCTCTGAGTTCCTCTATAACTTTCTGCTGTTGTTTCTTTACTTCCGATGCTGTTAATTCATTCATTTCAGCTGAGCTAGTGTCCTCTGCACTTGTTATGGGTGGGCTCAAGGCCTGAGTTTGCATTTTGCTCCTTGTCTTTGTCATTTTGTATAGCACTGACCTCTGACCTTTGGTGTGGAGCTTTGGTGCAGTTATAACCTTAGCACCTACTGAAATTTGGGTGCAGATCTATTAAGTTTGAGTTTATCCAGTTATGCCCTGTCTGGGTCTAGCTGTTGTGTTCAGCTACTTCCTGCTGCAGCCCTTGGAAGTGAACCTGTTGTGCCCCTCTGTTGTGCCCCTGGACCAGGGAGCACAGGTGAGCGCAGAAGCTCTCCCACACACTAGCTGGGCCTGGGCTTGGGCTGAATCTGGGGGTCCCTAGAGAGTCTCAGAAGTTTTTACTCACTTGATGTGCTTGAGGGTGGGTGATCCGGAGGGTTGCAGTGGTCCCAAAGGCGTGGTAGAGGGTCTCACTCATGTGGGTGCCTGAGTTTTGGTCTGGAGGGATCCTGTGGGCACAGGGAAGCTGGAAGCTCTCCTACATGCTCGCTGGGCCTGGGCTGGGTTGCATCTGGGGGTCCCGAGAGATTCACAGAAGTTCTCTCCAAATTAACTTCTTATGGCAGTTTTACATTATCTTGGCTGGTGCTTGAAGAATGAAGTTTCCATCATTTCCGGAATGTGACCTACAGCTGCTGGCAACTATGTTAGTGTTAATTTGAGTTTTTAGAGGTCATGGTTGAGGCCTACTTGAAAAGAAGGCTCAGAGAGGTCTGGCTAAAGTTTAACTGAGGAAAGACTCTTTCATCAGTGATAGTTACAGAGTGCTATAACCCTTCCTTTGACTTTTTTTCCCACTTTCTTGGAATAAACACTGACTTGCTATGTGTTAACTATTGTTAAGAGAGCTTGATTTTAAAACCTTAATTGAATAAAATATGAAAGATTATGCTATCTCATTTCAGGGCCGTGATCTGGATTATAAAATTCAAGAATATAAAGAAGCTGGGAAAATCTTTACAGAAAATCAAATAATAGAGTGGTTTATCCAGCTGTTGCTAGGAGTTGACTACATGCATGAAAGGTACATTCATTTGCTATTTGAGACAGGGCATATTTTTAACAGTCATATCTGAATTTGAAACATGATTTTTGGGTCAATTTGAAATCAAACAAATTTGACAGTTGTATAGCTATAGTTATATATCGATAACTTATACATCATTTTTTCTTGAGGAAGTACTTACAGTATTATATCCAGAGAATTACTTGCATAATTTTTCAGTTATTTTAAAAATCAAATTGCCTCTGAATATGACAGAAATTTGTATTGAATGTAATCCCTTACATGTGATCATCTCCTATGAATGACAATGATTTTCTAATCACTTTAACAGGCCATGAATTTATTTTGTCTTATATATCAGGCTTAATAATACTGTAAATATCTTAGTGTTCCACAAACAAGTTGTGTGGTCACCTTGGAATATGTCAGTGCATAATTAGCTGGCTTCACATCCGAAGATGAGTGAAATAATTGAGGTGGAAGATATTCTTTGGCATCACAGAGATAAATTTTCAGGCAAAAAGTCAATTTTGATGTAAAAATATCTATTAAAATAAGGTCAAGGAATGTTTTACGAGTTTTAGTTTTAGATGATTTTTGTTTGTAATCTCTGCCTCAACAATGTATTTTAAAACTTTTTATGATTTTTCTATGAGTCAACAAGAAGATGCTTTAGATGTTAAATGTTTCATAGACCTATAAAATGATAAGCATACAGTTGAAATAATAAACCGTCATGAAGGAAGTAATTCATACCTTGAGAATAGACATTACAAAGGGTGATAATCTTCTTGAACAAAATGATAATTTAACATTGGTGGTATAGTGGTGAGCAAAGCTGCCTTCCAAAATGATAATTTATAGGGGACAACAATGTTTGTCTACCCATGGATATCACATTACTTAAATACATCATCTGTGATTTCTGATAGCATAAAAAATATTCAGGTTATCCATTAATTCATCATGTGTGTTCCGAAACACATGCTAGATGATACAGATAGCTACTGGAATGAGACCAACTTATCATAAGAGAAAGTGATGAAGGAATATCAAGTAATCTTTTAATAAATTACCCACAGCTGCTGATTGTAAGGCTTCCCTGTAGATAACATTATGTTAGGATTTCTTTTATTTTGTTTGCTACTTTCTGGAATACTGTCAACTTATTATATAAGGAATATATGAAGAATAAATATATGAAGAATTAATATACAAATAAATGAATAAATATATAAGGAAAACAACTCAGAAATGCATGAAGTTGCCAATGGTGGTGTTCTGTGCCCAAAATATGAAACTGAAATTTGGTTAAGAACCCAAATATTTTTGATGTTATTGACACTACTAAGTGATTGTTAAAGTCAATGAATTGAAAATAATCTTCAAAAGGAAGATTTTTATTTTTTAAAAAATCCTTTAATATTCAATGAAAATTATTAAATGGTATTACATATTTGGATATTTGTGGATTTGTGTATCTGAAATACACCCTTCATGATTTAGGTAACAAATGATAGTACCTCTTATTTATTGTTATTATAATCAATTATTATAGTTTATATATAGATAGTAAAATATCAGTTTTACATTTAGATTCATTCATTTATTCACTAGATATTAATAGATCAACAAATCAGTGTTAACCTCAGAGCACTAGCAGAGATAACTCATAGTCATACTGCTATAAAGCATAGTAAATGTATAAAAAACAGTCTCTCTACTTCCTTGGATAAGTTGTTCTACCCCTCCTAGTCTTTGTCTTCTTGACTATAAAATAGGTTCTCCCTGGTTACATTATACAGGTATATACAATATGCATTGAGATATTATAATTCAATATAATCATAAAAATAAGAATAGGAAATAGCCATCAGACAAGTTAAAAGATCTCTGAAAATGACAAATATAGGCAATAATGAAAAGCAGTTGGAATTTTATTGCATTGTTTATAGGATGTATGTATATTTTTATAATCACTTTTGAAAAATAGTATGCACTAAGCAAAACATACAGATACACAATGACTCAGTGATTCTCTTACTGAGAGTACAAATGTATGCTAATTAATAACAGATACATAAGAGTGTGAAAGTGTCTACATATACCTTAACTGGACTAGTCAATAAACTACAAAGTCTTCAACTACTGCAGAATGGTTAAATGTGAGCTAGTTATGCAATAGAGTGCAGTATTAGCCTGTAATGAAACAGGAACATACAACTGGATATGCATGATTTCACTGAATCTCCAAGATACAGTGCTGGATGAAAGAAGCCACATACAAAGGAGAGCATACTGTGGAATGACTATTTATATGAAGTTAAAAACTAGTCTATGATGAGTTAAAATAGAGATTACTCCTGAAGAGGAGTTTTGACCCAAAGGGAAATATGAAAGAAAACTTGTGAAACATTAGTAATATTTTATGTTTAGACTGGGGTGGAAGGTTACAAGGGAGATATATGAGAGAAAATTCATCATGCTTAAGATTTATGCACTTTAGTGGAAGTTGTACACTAAAAATAAAGTGATAAGTCTCAAGACAAGTATGGTTTAGGCTTTTAGGAAATCAGATAAGAGACAATTCCATTTGGGATAATCAAGGAAGGCTTCATGGAAAAAATGGCATGGCCCAAGGTCAGAGTATGAAAAATTCGTCAAGTTTTTTCCATGTTTGGAGAATGGAGTGCAAAAAGGCATAGGGCTATGGAAAAGGGAGACTTTTAGAGTGATAGTAGATGGTTCAGTGGGGACAACTCTCGAGTCATATGAATAAGTAAATTATGGTCAAAGGTAGTTGCGATCAAGAGGGTTTATTTTGTGGCGTAGACATGGGTTATCACGGGGCCTTCTGAGTGGAGCTGTATAATGGGAGATTGCTTCTATAAGATTAATAAGAAAGGAACTTTGGCTATTCATCAAAAATCTTTCACAGTATCCATGCAGGAGGGGATGGGACCTGAGCTGAGGCAGAGAACAGGTAGGAAGTGAGGTCAAATTGGGCCTGAAGACTTCAAAGGACTGGGCTTGAAATCGCTATGCACGATGTGCTAGAAGGGCAGAAGTGAGCCTGTGGCTTTGTGCCTGTGTGAGTGAGAAGTTAGACAGGTTTAAGACGATGGTGCTGAGTTCACTTGTGACTATGATAGGTTGAGTGAGGAGAGAGAATGAGGGGACAAAGAGAGAAGCGGGTGGTGAGGAAGTTCGAAGTTCGAAGTGAGGAGCTAGATCTTGGGGAACATCAGGGCTGGCTTTGTTTTGGTTTGTCCAGTGTTAGCAATCCCTGAATAAGACTGCCATATATATAATTTCAAAGATGATCTCAAAAGCAGAAGCCATACGTGGGAAGAGTGAGACAGAAGGGAGGAGAGCTGAGCAGGGGCCTTGCTGAGCTGACGGCTGCTGTAACTCCCTCTCCAGAATGATTTTTATTTTTATTTTTTGAAATAGTTAAGAGACTTTATTTTACTAGCTATAATTACAGTGCTTGTCAAAATGAAAACCGAAAACAAGTATACAAAACGTGTACTGAAAGCAGTAAGAGGTTCCACAACACCAAATAAACCAGTTCTGAAGTTTCCCAAGGTACATTTAACAGCTCCAGCTTCTTCAGTGTTTATCAAAATATAAAAGAAAGAAGTAGAGGTAATTTTTTCTGATGGCAAATCGGACCCTTGCAGGCTGAGGGAGGAAGCTACTTCACACATGGAGGTGGGGGTGCTCTGGGACTGTGGTCTGGAGTGGACCAACCGACCCAGTTTGCACGCGCTCCTGCTGGTGAGACCCAGACTCTGACCAACACAAGCCCCGAGTGGGCACTAGGAATAGGCTGCCACTCCAGCTGCACGCTGACCGAGGGGGAGGGTGGGCCCTGTACCCCTCCTAACCCTCCCCACTACCCCGAGGTGACCATGTGAGCATGAGTACAAGCACAATGCTATGGAATGCAGGTGACCCGAAGACAGGCGGGCCACAGGGTCTCGACTGTGACCATGCAGTGGATGGCATTTGTTCGTCACATCTCTGGAGTTCCCTGAGGAACAGCTGATCTGATGATCAGGCCGAACTGCACTAGGAATAGTCTCCCTTCTGTGTGTTCAAGTGTTCTCTTCACCTTGTAATTTTTAATTATTTTTAAAAAATGCACTGAGTTTGGGTTATACACTAACCACCAAATGGATCCTGACACCAATCTACAGCTCAGTGGCTCCTGGAGGCCAGGTGCCTATGCACCCAAATCCCTTCTCAGGACTAACAGTGAGTTGATTTTCTTTACAATAAAAAAGCTGAGTAATATTGCATAGGAGTACCAGAAACTGCTTCAGTGGAAACAGAAACTATTTACATTAAATAAAAACCTGGCTGCAGGCTGCGTCTACACGTGTGCAGCACGATGCGTGCACACTGTGACCAACCCATGGAGACAGCTTCTGGCACTCAGGACCACAGAGTCGCAACGTTTGCCACATGAGAGGAAAGCAGAGGGCAGAGGAGGAGGAAGTGAAGGGAAGGGGGTTCTGGTTCACTTCTGGTTCTGGAGCTGATTGGAGAGCCAGTCCAGTCCTTCATAGAGCCCGTCCCCACTGATGGCATGGGTGGCCTGAATGTACCAGTTCCTGTGGCGTAGAGAGTGCAGCCCCAGCTTGTCTGTGATTTCAGCTGCATTCATGGCATTGGGGAGGTCCTGCTTGTTGGCAAACACGAGGAGGATGGTGTCCCTGAGCTCGTCCTCAGCCAGCATCCTCATGAGCTCCTCACGGGCCTCATTCACACGCTCTCTGTCATTGCCGTCCACCACAAAGACCAAGCCTTGGGTGTTCTGGAAATAGTGGCGCCACAGTGGTCGACTCTTGTCCTGACCACCCACATCCCACATGGTGAAGCTGATGTTCTTCTCTTCAACCATCTCCACATTGAAACCTATGGTAGGCATGGTGGTCACAATTTCACCAAGCTTCAGTTTATAAAGAATTGTCGTCTTTCCGACAGCATCCAAGCCCACCATGAGAATGTGCATTTCTTTTTTCCAGAATGATTTTTAAATAGAGTCAGATGGTAAATTTTTCTGGGGTATAAATATATCATCTAATTTTTCTTCCTTTTAGTTTTTAATATTCAGTTGAGTATAGGTCTAGGACATGTTTCCTTTAAAATATAAACTTACCTATTTTAGAATTAGTTTAAATGTATAAGAATGATTTTTTTTTAAATTTTTTTTATTTATTTGAGAGAGAGAGAGAGAGAGAGAGAGAGAGAGAGAGAGAGTGTGGTGGGTGTGTGTGGCCAGCTCAGCCCACCAGGGGGCGGGGCTGGCTGGCATGTGGTGCTGGGGGATTGAACCGTGGTCCCCGATGCCTTGCTAAGCTTGTTCTAAGTAGGTGCTTTAGACCACTGAGCCATCTCTCCAGCCCAAGAATGATTTTTTTAAAACATGCAGCAAGAACACTTTTAAATGATGATGTTGAAAGTCAAGAACATTCAGTCCACTGCCAGCCACCTCAGGGATGTAGCACCTCCGCTCATTCCTACTGAAAGAAGCCATGCTGTGGAAGCAGAACCCCTCTGCCATTTCTTCCTCGCGTTGCACGTGCTCTGAGGGGTTAGCTGCAATTCTACTCCACGTAGCTTCTCATCTGTCACCCAAAAGGAAAGCGTAATGCTCATCTGGAATTTGCCTCTCTCATGCCAGGGACAAAGGCAAGAGTGAATTGGGGCAACATTCCATAGCTGCTAGGCTGCTACTCAGACTTGACAGGCATGCTGTCTGTTTCTGCGCCCTGACCGGAGGAAGTCAGATGAGCAGCATCAGCGGCAGAGGGCTGGGAGTGGCGAGCAAGGCACAGGAGGGCTGAATACTTGGGAACAAGAATGCAGCCTCCCACAGGGCTTCACACAGCTTTGAATTTGAATGACAACTAGCAAAAACATCTAGCTACATTACAAAGCATTATTGCAGCTTTTTCACCTCTGATCTAAATAGTATATATTAAAGTTTATTTTGAAGATATATATGAATTATGTGAAGAGGTTAGATTTGGTTCTTCTGTTGAAAGTACCTTGTGGAATTATTTTAATTCATGTAATAGTCAATTTTATGTGGCACCCTGAGTGGGCTTCTGCATTAGTCTCTGAGGATGTTTCTCAGTGAGCTTAGTTTTTTTTTTTTGTTTTGTTTTGGTTTTGATTTTTGGTACTGGAGCTTGAACTTGTGCTTGCCAGGCAGGCACTTATGCTAATGAGCTATTTCTCCAGCCCTGGGTGAGATCAGTATTGCATCAAGCATTAGTATTGCATCAATGAGATTAGTATTGTATCAATTAGTATATGCATCATTAAAAGAGTCCCCTTCTTGGGCCTGGGCGATAGCCCAGTGGCAAAAGCACCTGCCTCACAAGCACGAGGTCCAGAGTTTGATCCTTTGGACTACATCAAGGTTCTATCCTTTGATCCTTCTTGATGTGGGTAGTGTCATCATTTCACTGATGCCCCCAACAGGACAGAAGGTAAAGGAAGAAGGAATTTGCCTCTTTTTCCTGCTTTGCTACTTGAACAGGGGCGTCTCCTTTTTTCCTCTCTTGTCCTTGGATAGTGATTGACATATCTACTCTCCTGCTTCTCAGACTTTCAGACTCAGACTGAATTACACCACTGGCTTTCCTGGGCCTCCAGCTTGCAGACAGCAGAATGTGGGGCTTCTCAGTCTGCATAAATGCATGAGTCAGTTCTTAGTAATAAATTGTGTAGTGGTTTTGCTTCCTTGGAGAACCCAAACTAGTGAATTATAATGGCAGAGGAAAACAAAAGGAAGGAGGTTATAGAAGAAAGGAAGATTTTGCTCACTCATTTGCCTTCTGTCTACATATATTTTAATTTGGTTTATTTATTCTTTTGAAATAATTTAAATCCACAGCATATGACACAAATACATGAATAATGCTGTTAAAAGCTGAGAATATTCACAGTTCACTGAAAGTTATCTTGAGAATGTTGTACAAACTTTTGTTGAAAAGGTAAGGAGTTTATTAGCTTTGTTTCCTTAAGCTGAAGGTCAGAGCAGCCTCTCTATAGTGACTCTTCTTCTGGTGGGCTTGAAGTGCGGATTTCCATGCTTTCCCACTGGGGGAAGCAGCAGGCTCTGCCCTTCCCTCATGGGTCTCCCTCAGCACTTTGCCATCCACACATCTCCTAGCAGGGTTGGTGAGGTGTGTTAGAGTGAATGCAAAAGTTTGTGAAGGGTGGCATGAAAAATTCACTTTTAAGGGGACAAGGCCCTAGCCACCTCCTCACTTATTTAGGGCGCTCATGTCAAAACGCAGATGGGAAAATCAGGCAGGTGCTTCAGATGATGTAATCTAGCCTATTGTGACAGTTAAAGTAAATCCCCTTTACCCAACTACATATGCTTCTCTCTCTTTTTTTTATTTTTCATTTATGTATTTGGTACAGAGTTTCACTATGCAGCCTAGACTCGTAGTGATCCTCCTATTTTCAGCCTCCCCAGCTCTGGGATTACAGTGTGCGCTACCACACCTGGACTGGGTCAATGGCTCAGCATGTCCTAATAGTGGGGCTGGTGCAGCATGCAGGACCAGGGGTGGAACTCGGGTCCCTGTGCTTGCCAAAGCAAGTGCTTAGTCTGCTGAGCTATCTTGCCGGCCCTGCTCCTCTTTTTAAAACATTTATTTTACAAAAGCTCTTATTTCCCTAGGGAAATTAGAAAATAGCTATGACTTTGTAGTTTTTAAGCATTGAAAGCTATACATGTAGGAACTACTTTATGTATAACCACATGTGGTATATGATTTAAACATGAAATTAAAAATTTTCTGTCTTGCATGAAACTGAATGTCCTTTCTTGCCTTTTATAGAAGGATACTTCATCGAGACTTGAAATCAAAGAATATATTTCTGAAAAATAATCTGCTTAAAATTGGTAAGTTTTTAAAAAATATATACCCAAAAACATGAGGCAGTATATTCTAGATGTATATCAATTTGAAGTACATGGAAATGTTTGAGCATTTTTTTTTTAATTTTCAAAGTTTTGTTTTTATGTGGATGGGCCGATAAAATCCAGTTGCTTTGTTACTGATTAGCTGATATAAATTAAGATATAGAACATTTATAATACACTTGCTTAACAAATCTTTAAATTGCCGCTCCATATCAGGCACTCTGCAGATTGTTACATTTTTTTTTTTTTTTTTTTTGGTTTTACTGGTTTGATTAATTACTGTAGGTTTCTACTTTTTTTAATTGCAAGCAATAAGTATTTCTTATAGATAATTAAAATGCTGGTCTAATGGTATTATTAACTTTTGGTTCTTCTGCACAGAACTTCCACTTGTGTTTACTGCATTGTCTAAGAGCCATGTAGATGTTCTCAGGAAGCAAAAGAATTAAAACATGCAGCAAATTAGGCAGGAATAGAGAAGCCAGGGGACTCACTTTGCTTTAGTCATTCTCATCTGTAGTTTCAAGTCTTCTAAAAAATTTTTATTTTATTGTAAGTTAAGAACAGGATTTTATCCCCATTGGATAAAATTATATATCATCACATTCTGTCCTTTCCTAATCACTCCATTTGCTATTTTTTTGAACTTCAAATAGCTTTTTATATCATTACCTAGTTCTCTATAATTCTATAAGTAAATAATTTTAAATTATATATACATTCTCTTCCCTGGTTCAAAGCTTATTTGTGTAATTTAAAGTATCATTTTTCCTCCCCCTTATAATGATATGATGCACTGCATAGTGAAATAATCAAATTAGACATGTATTCACCCATTAATTTCCAGTGCTGAATTTTTTTTTAAAAAGTATTCATAAAGATTCATTATTATTTCAAGGGGATTTTGGAGTTTCTCGCCTCTTAATGGGATCCTGCGACCTGGCCACAACTTTAACTGGAACTCCCCACTATATGAGTCCCGAGGCTCTTAAACACCAAGGCTATGACACAAAATCGGACATTTGGTGAGTGGGCAGTGGGCTGTGGGCTGTGGGGTAGTGAACTGTGGGCAGTGGGCCATGGGGTAGTGAGCTGTGGGCCGTGGGCTGTGGGGTAGTGAGCTGTGGGCTGTGGGCCGTGGGGTAGTGAGCTGTGGGCAGTGGGCCGTGGGGTAGTGAGCTGTGGGCCGTGGGGTAGTGAGCTGTGGGCCATGGGCTGTGGGGTAGTGAGCTGTGGGCCATGGGCCGTGGGGTAGTGAGCTGTGGGCCGTGGGGTAGTGAGCTGTAGGCCGTGGGCCGAGGGGTAGTGAGCTGTGGGCTGTGGGCCGTGGGGTAGTGAGCTGTGGGCCGTGGGCCGTGGGGTAGTGAGCTGTGGGCTGTGGGCCGTGGGGTAGTGAGCTGTGGGCC